TCTAAGAGAATGCAAAGCCATTGACATCGTTTGTTTGTTTGTCGTTGACCTTATTTTTTAAGAGCAGTTTTAGATTCATAGCAAGATTGAGAAGACGGTACAGAGATTTTTCATGTACACCCTTTCCTCACACATGCTAGCCCTGCCATTATCAATATTCCCCACCAGAGTGGTACATTTGTTACAATTCATGAACCTATATTGACACATCATCATCACCCAGAGTCTACAGTTTACAGTACTTTTTACTCTTGGCGTTGTATATTCTATGGGTTTGGATAAATGTATAATGATATGAATCCATCATTATGGACTATCTCATCTATGAGATGTTTTATACAAACCACATGGTAACCACGAAACAAATAATTAAGGCAGAGACACAAATTATAAGGAGAAAACTAGCATAGAAAACTGCCTACCTGAATTTGTAGTCTGAAATACATGGGATGAGAAACAAAGGAAGTGCAGGAGAACAGGAAAACGAGTGATAAAATGGCAGCATTAAGCTCCCACTTATGAATAACCACTCTAAATGTAAATGGATTGAATTCTGCAATCAAAAGACACAAGACTGGCAGGGTGGATTAAAAAACAAGACCCAAAAATATGCTGCCTCCAGCAAATGCATCTCAGCCCCAAGATAAACACAGACTCAGAGCAAAGGGATGAAAGATGATACTCAAGCTAACAGCAAACAAAAGAAGTATACTTTGTCTGATATAAGTATTGTGACACCTGCTTTCTCCCTGGGACTGTGGTGGGATTGTGGACTCTCCCATTGGTTGAGAGAGTGATCACATAGGGGCTAATGGCTGCTGTTGCCTGCTTCACAGTCCTGCCAGTTGTCCTTTAAGGGCTTACTGTCCCTTAGGGGCTGCTGTGCTACTGTGGACGTTTGTGGTAGCTGGGGGCACTTTTGCCCGTACTGCAGATATGCTGCTGTGTATTCCTAGGTTGCACCAGCTTTTGATCTTGAGGGGGGGTCTCCCCAATAGAGTGGAGCCTGAGTCACTCCCTGGGGCTGTGGTGGGACTGTGGACTTTGCCACTGGACCTGGGAGCAATCATGCTAGGGCTCAGGTTGTCACTGCCTGCTCCCATTGTCCCACTAGATCTCACTTGCCCCTTTGGGGCCACGGCAGAGCTATGAGCATTTAAGGCAACCAGTGGTTTGTTTGTCCAGACTCGAAGCCAAGCCATGTCTGCTCCTAGGTCACACCAGCCTTTGTGCATGGTGGGCGGGGCCTCTCCACTAGGGCCAACACTAGTCTCTCCCTGGGGCCACAGTGGGACAATGGATTTTCTCACTGGAGCAAGGAGTGATCATGCTGGGATTCAGGGTTGTCACCACCCTCTCCCACAGCCCTGCTGGGTCTCACTTGCTGCTTTGGGGCTGCAGCAGAGCTATGGGCATTTAAGGCAGCTGGTGGTTTGTTTGCCTGGACTTGCAGCTGCGCTGTGTTTGCTCCTATGTCACACCAGCCTTTGTGCTTGGTGGGTGGGCTCTCCACTTGGGCAGAGCTGAGTCTCTCCCGGGGGCAACGGTGGGACTGTGGATTTTCCCACTGCATGAAAGAGCAATCACACTGCAGCTCAGGGTTGTCACTGCCCACTCCCATGGCCCCACTGTGTCTCACTTGTCCCTTTGGGGCCAGAGGAGAGCTATGGGCATTTAAGGCAACCAGGGGTTTGTTCACTTGGACTTGCAGCCACACTGGGTTTGCTCCCAGGTCATGCCAGCCTTTGTGCCTGGTAACCGGGGCCTCCCTACAAGGTCTGAGCCTGAGTCACTCCCTGGGGCCACAGAGAGACTGTAGATTTTCCCACTGGTCCAAAGAGTTATCACAGGGGGTTCAGGGCTGCAGTCACCTGTTTCCACCGCCACGCCAAGGTGCACACCCACCCTTGGGGCAGCAGTGGTGTTATGAGCATTTCAGCCAGGAGAGCAGTCACTCATGGGTACTGGGCTGTCTTTGGTCCAGAGAGTTATCACCTATCTCCACCTCCTCCCTGAGGGTAGTCCATCTACCTACTGACGTAAACCAGCATGGGTCTCTCAGGCATCCTGAGGTGGGTGCTATGTGAGTATCCTCCTTTGATCAATGAATGTTCATTTATTTGTAGTTTGAAGCAGGAGAGGCAAAGAGAACCACTCACTCCACCATGTTGCTACGTCACTCTCTCAATCACGTTGTTTTCTTACTTTGGAGTTTTAAAAGTTTTTGTGTATATTTTGGATAACAATCTTTTATCAGATATATCTTTTGCAAATATTTTTTCCCAGTCTGTGGCTTTTCTTCTCATTCTCTTGACGTTGTCTCTTGCAGAGCAGAAGTTTTTAATTTTAATGAACTTCAGTTTATCAGTTATGTCTTTCATGGATTGTGCCCTTTTTGTTGTATCTAAAAAGTCATGAACATACCCAAAGTCATCTAGTTTTTCTCCTATGTTATCTTCAAGAATTTTACCTTGGAAATATTTTAATTTGGAGTGATATTATCAGATTTATGTCTATAAAGATCATAACAGCAGCTGTGCAAGAATGTTTTGAGGAGTACAAATGTGAATTCGGGAATACAAACTAAGGATCTATTGCCAAGGCCTGAAATGCTGCTGACTTCCACTAGAGTGATGACATTGGAGGCAACATCGTGTGTATGTACACTATTTAATGAGATAATAGAAGTGGAAGTTCATGATGATAGAATGAATGTTGATGACTAAGAAGAATGGACCATCAAAATTGACTATTATGTTATTGTCCTGGTTAATTGCATAGATTATGAAAGGTTGTGGAGGAATAAACATAACTAAAATTAAAATAGAAAAATATGATATAGTGGATCATATTTCATCTGATTTCTTTAGACTGAAATGTGACTTAAATTTTCCAAAGTATGTTTTCCTTTGAGTGTCTTGTTTGGAAATACTGTTTCCTATATATTGAGCACTGCTGCTGAATTACATTATGGATTTTCTTGGTGCCTAAATTTATCAAAGTGAAGTCTTGTTACACTCTCAATGTCACCTGAAAAAGAGAACTTCTGAAGACTAAAGTAAGCAATTGTTGCTTTGTGGAGAGAAGTCAATGATTTGTCTCATGACACCTTTGAATTTTCATGTATTTAAAAGCAAAAATTAGATTACACAGCAGTGCTCAGAAAGAAATATATAATATATAAAAATATTACATATTATACGTGGTATATTATATATCATATACATCACATCATGTTATATGAATATAAAATCTATATTTTATGATTAGAAAACAAGGCACTCAGAAATAATAAATAAATTGTATCTATGCAAACCATAATCTAATTAACAAAAAGAGAAATCAGAAATATACAAAATATGAAATGAGAAGAATAAAATAACCATCAAAAGAGAAAAACTTAAAACTCTTAGCATATTAGTTTTATAGCTTTATATAAATATTTTTAAACATTTGCATAAAGTTGAACTCACTCTGGGAAACTAAAATTTACCAAATATCACCTCAGAAAGGAAATTCTAAGAGGTATTTCCACGGAAAACAAAGAAATAATGTTATCAAAGAGCAATGTCTCTTAAAACAAATGATTTTACAGTTAAATATTGCCAAATATAAGACCCAAATAATCCAAAGGATGTGGAAAGAAAGTACAGAATGTATAGTATAGAATAGCATGGAAAAAGCAAGTACAAACATTATTGTTGACATCTAACTGCACAAAGAAACATTCCTAGTGTTAGTTTCACTTATGCAAAAATTCTAATAAAAACTACTGGTAAGCAGAAGATGATATCATATCAACAAAAAGATATCATGATTAAGTGAGATTGATTCCAGTAATAAAAGGATGTTTCAACATTAATTACAGTGACTATTAAACATTTTTGTTCAAATCAGGGCATTTTTAAAATGAATTACTCTTTCGCTTACATATACATTATATCATATATAAATATATATATGAAGAGTAACTTTCATTTATATGTACATTATATTATTACATACATTTATATAAATTATATATGTATAAGCACAAAAAGAATGAATCAGGTCTATTTTGAGCAAACTGGCAGTTTCTTTTTCTTAATGGTACCTATCATGTATCAAATTTTCTAATTTTATTTTTATTGGTACAATTTTCTTTCACAACCACCTCCTAGGCTAGATTTTAAGCTTCAGATAGCAAGGATTCTGACTGTCTCATTCACTGTTATTATCTCTGCCATGAACCTAGTAACTGGCATATAATAGTGCTAAATTAAAGCTTGTGGGATGAATAAAGTAATTCAATATTAATGTGTAATCTCCTGAGTCATCAATCTGATGATACCATTTGGATGCATTCCTTGATATACACACATAAATTCAAAGCACACAAACTCCTTTATTCTTAAATATATTAAACTCAAGAACATACTTCATGATTTAGGAGTAACGGAATACTGCGTCTGAGATTACAGAAAAATAGCATGCAGATTAATATGAAATTTATAATTAAAGGGCATTTGAACAAAGCAAGAGCTATTTCATTTTATTTTCCCCTACAGAAAATAGCTGTTTCCCTGATATTTCCAAAATAAAGAAAAAAGATAGATTATGAACAATTTATATTTTCCAGGATTTCTAAATGCCTGAAAAAGAGTATTATATGGCAAATAGGGTAAATTTTACCATCTTAGTCTGGTTTTTTTTTTCTCACAAGCTATCAAAAAATTCTAGTTATTTCAAGGAATCCTATTAAATAAATAAGTTATAAATGATAGTATGCAACTGGAGCAATCTTAAAACATGAGTGAAGAGTTTTATTTTAATTTTTTGAATCATGTATTTGGGTCTTCCATATGTTTTAGAAAATATTTACTGAATTCATAAAAATTTTAAAAAACCGTAATGATGTGAGGAAATACTATTTGCACAGGCATATAATACATTATTAAGACAATTTCATCCATGTTATTTTCTTTGACAAAATCACCTCCTATAATAACTCATATTTTTACCTTATACTTATTTCCAGAAACAAACTCCTCTGCCCACATGGTGTGGTGGAAACTGCACTGGGTTTACAGTTAGAGGAAATTGACTCTATCCCAAACCAGTTTTATGAGCCCAGACACCCTTATGATTTCACTATCTGGAATGTTATTATGAAGCTTTGCAGGTTCATTGTGAAGTCAGTACATATTATGACCCTGAGAAATAGGATTGCTGAGAGGATGATGTAGTATAAGTGAAAGTGCCTAGCAGAACACGTAAAATACTCTTACGTGTTAATTTCCCTCACTCCCTTCCTTCTTCCTTTCTGTCCTTCCTTCCTTTGAATAACAAAATCATATTTACTGCTTATTAATAAGTGTCCTTTTTGGTCCTTTAGTAAAGATGTATCTTCAAACTGATATTCACCTTGTTTAGTTACGATGATGGCAGTATTAACATTATTTGGAAAAGAATGAAATGATAGCATAATCACAAAAACGCGATGCTCCGTTTTCCTAGCCAGTAACCAAACCAATAAAATCACATTTATATTAATTCTGTAGGAATATAGAAATTTGCTTCCTTCCAGATTCCCCAGTTATTTCTAAGCATCTCCCATGATTGGGTTCGTGAAGCCTCAGTGTGGATTTTCCAGTTTTCTGCCCCAAGCCAATCCTACAACTACAATTTTACTGTCTTTTTTTTTTTGCTACTGACTCTAGTGATGTAACTTGTTTATTGACTGAGGAATAATTCTAATGAGAACATCATTGGATAATAATGTGATTACTACTAATAATAATAGCTACATTTACTAGCAGAATTCTACTATACCTTAAGTTTTGTCATTATTTCATTTGCTATGCTGACATTTAAGGAAAGATTTCGTGAAATGCTCAAAGCCCATAACTCCCCGATTTTATATAATGATAAGTGATAGGACCAAAGTTAAACAGATTTTTCTAATACTAAAGTGCTTGGTAAAACAAACAAACAAAAAGCCAAAACAAAACAAAAACAAAACAAAACCTACAACTTCAGGATAATATTGGAGAATAAGAAAGCCTGCTCTACCCTCCAGGCTCTAAGCTTAGTAACTTGTTTTCACTATTATCAGGAAGGAAAGCAGGCTCAGAGAATCACTAATAATTTATTCTAGAATGGGAAAAAAGTTACAGAAAAAGACATAAAGGCCCTCTTATGGAGAGGTGTTGGTAACTAATTTAAATGGTCAGTAAATGTATGGACTCAAGATATGAGAAAATGAACTTAAATGGCAAGATGTGGGAATAAATTCATGAGGCCTGTTCAAAAGGTCAAAATCGGTGAAATATCAAGGACTTTTGCATTTTTCATGCATATTTATGCTAACCTTGAAAAAATAAGCAAAGTCTTTTGGATTAGAAATAGGTTTGGACTGAGAATAGGTCAGAATAGCTTTGTTTATATTTTTTCTTGGTTTAGATATATTTTTCTATTTTTAATTTTAAGAAGTCTTTTTATTTTAAAATGACCCTGGCAGTGTGTTGTTTTTGCATTAGGGATTCTTAGAAAACGCCTTGCTGCAAAGCATTTCATCCACTTTTGTTTACTTTAGCAAGATTTAAAAATATAAGTATTCAGAATTATATTTATCTCAGAATTTATTACCAAGAGCTGTCATTGTACATTTGAAGTCTCTTAGCACAAGAGATGTGCTAAAATAATGCTCAGACTTTATGCATAGTCACACGTGATGTTACTTGCAGTTTCAAAAATCTTAAGTGCTTGTCTTTAAAAACTTGGCATCTAGTTTCTTTTTAAATGATTCCTTAACATTTCAGCTTCATTGTGTACATGCTCGTCTTTGGAATAGTCTTGTAAAATAGTGTTCTTCACTTCACAACTCATGGGAAATACTAAACACAGAAAGAAATAAAAGCTAACTCTACAAAAACCAGTAAAATTTTTCTAGATTTATTCATTTATTTTTGTTAATAAAGATTATTTGAGGTGTCATAGAACTTTAAAACCGGATGAGGCTCTGTAGAAAGAAGAGGACCTGGGATTAAAAATGTAATTTGTAAAATAAAAGAGAAAGTTTTTGGTAATCAAATACAAACTCTTTGATGCTTTGTGGTCAGTTTGAAATTCACTACTACAATTTTCTCCATGGATTTGAATTTTTCTAAATTTTCTTTGTTAAAAATGAAGTTCTATTACAATTAGTGATATGAGAATAAGCAAGTGTTTAATATAAACTCTTTATGACTTGTTAACTCCCATTTCAGGAAATAATCCCAAAGTCACATAATAGCGAAAAAAAGGAGAGCACATCTCTACCCACTTGGGTTAGCTCCCAGTGAATTTACCAGAATACATTTTTAAACAGAAAACCAAAATTTTTGTGTTAAAGGATACTTTCAGCCATCATTTATTTAATTATCTTAGTTGTTTACATTTACTCAAAGTAGAACAAGATATAGCAAAACGGAATGTTCTCTCTTGATTATTTTTCTTCCTGTTATACACATGAGTTTTGGTAAAGAACATTTTGTGAATGTTAAATCTGTTAATAATTAAACCCAATGCAGCAAATGGTTATTAACAGGTTTGCTTCTTGAATGATCTCGTTCTTCCTTGTCATCTGTCACTCTTTCTACACCTTTCCATCAATACTATGGCCACAGAAAAAATCATCACGACTATGATTTGTCATGTCATGCTTATGAGACTTGGTACTCTGAACGTAGATTTAAATATTCAAAGTTAAGTAATTAAATATTCAAAATTAAGTAATTAAATATTCAAAATAATGTAATATTTTAAACATTTAAATAATTCAAGTAAAAATAAGTTATAGTCTCTAAAGAAGTTTATGATTAAAACATTGTTTAAAATAGCTAAAATAATTTCATCTAATTTGATATTGCTTATTTACAAGTTTATTTTCTTGAATTGAAGACCTAGGGCTTTTTGTTAACATAATGTTGGAAAGTTTAGAGTAAACTGTAGAGGTATAAACTAATTGTCCTAAATGACATTTATTACAATTTGTTTAATTACACAGCATGAACAATATACTAGTTAACATAATGCTAGCTGCTGTAACAGATAAACTCCAAAATTTCAGAGGCTTAAGTTTACAAAGTCGAACAGAGACATGAAGTGGGCTATACTCAATGACATGTTTTGAGGACCCAGGTTAACAGAAACTTTGTCATCATCAACACATCCTTAGACCTTGCCTTGTCAGCATCCAGCCAGAAAACATGGGAAAAGAATGTTTCTCAGATCTGGCTTCAAAGATTAGGCCAGATCTGTAAGTGTCACGAATCACTTCATGCCACACTCCATTGGCCACAACTCCATCACATGAAAGGGGGGCTCAGGAAGTAAGGAAAACAACTACTCATTCTTCACTACAAGCAACTGTTTGATCAGTCCACCTGGAGGCAGAAACAATTGCCCAGCCCGGAATGTATTTGGATGTTGAGATATATGTCACAACACACTCTCCAGTGACTATTAAAGTGTAGTTAGTGCTCATAACCAGCAGGGAGTTCCAGAAAGGGAAGGGTTCAAGTAGGAATGTGGGGAGAAGAGAGCAAAGGGTGGAGTAGTTTGGGGCTTTTATAGTCTTCCAAGGCTGGAGCCAGAGTGGGGATTTCCTGCCCTGGGGCTAGAGACTGTTCTACTTGATATTCCCACCCCTTTTACTCAGAGGAACAGAAAAATCAAATGCTCCCTGATACCAGACTGAGATCACCAATGGGAAAACAGTAGTTGTAGGGGCAAAGGGTGTGAAGGTCTTCTTGGATGTTGAGACGTGGGGCTGTCTGGGAAGGAGGGATGGGAGTTCGAAAAATTGTCAATGTTCAAACATTAAAAGTAGGATCTGCCTGTTTAATGCAGCAGTCTATAATTACCTAAGCAATCTGGTTGCTCTGATAGGCATTAAGAAAAACTTGCCTATTTGAGTTCTGCACTCAGTTTCAATTTCTGTGTGTGTGGTGAGGAAGGGTTCCTCCACACCACCAAACAATTCTCAAGACACCAGCTGGGTGTCTTAACAATTTAACTAAATTCTGACACTACCTGCCTGGAGATATCATCAGATCCCACAGGTTAAGGGCTCAGTCTCACAAGACTGCCCCCCTCCCACACACACACACTTCAGATGACAGTTGCAAGTCCAGCTTGTTACCTGTACTTCTAACCAACTGGCTAAGTTCCAAAAACCTCCTCTTTGGGTTTGATTGCTATGCTAGAGCAGCTCACAGAACTCAGAAAAACATTTTATTTACTGGATCACCAGTTTAATATAAAAGGATATAACTCAGGAATAGTCACGTAGATGAGATGCATAGAGCAAGTTGTGGGGAAAGGGCCCAGAGCTTCTGTGCCTTTTCCACGTGTACCACTCTCTCAACACCTCCACATGCGTTCACTGACCTGGAACCTCTCCATCCCATTCTCATGAGTTTTTATGGAGGCTACAATAAACAGGCACGATTGATTAAATCATTGGCCATTGGAGATTGATTCTACCTCCATCCCTCTTCCCTCCCCAGAGGTGGGGGATGTGTGCGGAGACTGAAAGTTCCAACCCTCTAATCTCATGAGCGGTTTTCCTGACAAGCAGCCTCCATCCTTAGGTGGGATGAAAGTCACCTCATCAATATAAAAAAAGACACCTTTAAGTTCTCATCACTTAGGAAACTCCAAGCGTTTTAGAAGCTCTGTGCCAGAAACAGGGACAAAGATCAAATATCTATTTCTTATTACAAATCACAACATTACACCCGTTAAGGCACAGCCACAGTCAGGGAAAATGTGAGTGCTTCCTTCAACTGACCAGTGCAGCAATCATTTTTGTCAATTTGGAGGTACTGGACTAGACCATAACCTTTTTGTCTCTATGTACTTGCACAAGGTTTTGTGTATTTGTTTCTTTAGGTTAAAATGTTCTCTTCATCACTTTCCAGACTTTCCCTCTACCTTGGCCTGGTGTAAAGATGTCTGGTCGTAAAACTTATAAGAAAAGTGTAAGATCTCTATTTTAAAATGATAAAATTCTGTTGAATGGTATTAAAGAATTGCTGAATAAA